AGGGCCCGTGGACTTGAGGCGGCGAGTTCCCCATTGCTGCAATAGACAATAAACTACAGCATGATTTCTATTCCTGTCAAAATTCTAGCACCATTATTAAAGGGGTGACCTGTGAGTCTTTAGAAAGGGAAAATGTAATCACTTAGAAGTCGGCATGACTCATCAAGAGGACATCATGCCAAGCCAACCTCATTTCCTTTTTGGACAAGGTAACTAGGCTGGTAGATGAAGACAATGCTGTAAGGATTACCACCCTTAGATAATAATACTTAAATTTTCGCAAAGCATTTAATATTGTCACTTTTTAAAATTTTTATTATTATTATTTTTTTAAATATTCTCTCTCAGGTTATCCTTGTGGGTAAGAATGGGAGATATGCAGCAGGTGATGGTATAATTAGGTTGATTCAGAACCTATTGAACAGCTAGACCCAAAGAGTACTTATTAATGACTCAATGTAAATTTAGAAATTCTCAGTGGAGAGTCCCAGGGATCTGTGCTTAGCATCATTCTGCTTAACATTTTTATTAATGAATTGGATAAAAGCATAAATGCTTTGATTATCAAATTTGCAGATCACATAAAACTAAAAGGGAAATCTCACACATCGGGTGACAATCAGGACATGAGAAGATCTCAAAAGGTGAGAAAATCTAGACAAATGAAATAAGAGGCAATTTAATAGATAATGAGAAGTTTTATACAAGGATTCCCCCAAAAGTTGGGCTGTCCAAATACAAAACACCTAGTTCTAGTTGTCTGGATTGATTTTATTTGTTCAGGAAACTAAGCCACCCACAAGTCGGAGAGACCCTGACTCCACTTGGCTGGGACTTTTTATACCCTAAGCCTGGAAGCTTCATCAGGGAAGCTGGGGCAACCAGATTACCCGGAATTGGGGTGTGTGTGGAGAGGAAATCAGAGAAGCTGGATCATGATAACTCTGGTTCTATCAGAATAGGGAAAGTAAGGTGCTGGGTTATGCGTAAGCATCGATAAGTATTAATTAGGGGACTCCCTTGTCTCCTCTCAGGGAGCTTGTGCCAAGACCTTTTGCCTCCTTTTGTGAAACAGGAGGTTCATAGGATTATGCGATTTAGAGCTTTAGCATCTTAACACCTTTATTTTACCCACAAGGAGTTTGTAAGGGTCTGTCTGCTAAATCAGCCTTCTCTGACCTGATCTCCTTCCTAGCTGAGTGTTATCTTCACATCTTTAACCTGGAATTTTTGCATCTGTGGCAAGAATCACAAAAAAGTGGAGATGAACACAGTCAGGCAATGCACCCTCACCCAGGGAAGGAGGAAGCAGATCCCTGGGCTGGGTGAGGGGATGGGGAAAAAGGAACTCCTGTTTTTAGCACACTGGTATTCCTGCTAGCTAGAAGCTAGCTTGGTTGTGCTAGAATGTTCAGGCTTCATTTATTGGTGGGAGGCAGGCAAAGACCTTCAACCATCCATAGTCCTGGGCTCTCTCTTCTTTAGGGAGGCTTGGCCACCAAAGGAAAGAGCTGGGTGGGACTTTTTCAAAAGGATGGGAGATCAGGATGTAAGCCCCCATGTCCCGTAGCAGTCATGCTGCAAAGTGCTCCATACTCCTGCTGTTTCAAGAATCCTATAATGCTAGCCACCTCCTGCCAAGTCAGTTTCCTTTCTTGCTGAAGGGAGTGAAACTGAGGCTAGGGATGCTTACTGGAATAGAAGTTCAGGTGGACTTCCACTCCCAACCCTCTCATCATCATCATCCTCCTATGTGTAGCTCTTTAGAAACTCATCATGTCAGTGGACTGAGTACTAAACTTGAAGTCAAGAAGACCTAGTTCAAATCCCTCCTCAGACTCTTACTAGCCAGGTTGCTATTGGTCAGTCACCTAACTTCCCCGTAATATGATTTTCTCATCTGCAAAATTAAGGTCCTCTAAGATTCGGACTGGATGACTTCTAAGACCCCTTCCATCGCTCAAACTATGATCCCATCACCTCAGGGAGGAGGTGCTTGGCAGAAACCTTTGAAATTTGATATCCTCTAAGTTCTGGAGGGGCTGAAGTAAAGAGCCTTGTGTCCTACCCTGCATCCACTGCTCTGGTTCTCCCTCTTCTTATACTTTCCAGAGTATATTGTACCTTTCCTTCACCCCCATGGCATTCCCCATTGTATTATACTTTTTGTATATGTGCTGTATTCTTTTATGATGCTGTAAATTCTTCGTGGGCAGGGGCTGTGTGCTTTCTATCTCTATACCACCAGAGCCCAACAGTGCCTTGTACACAGCATACTTTTAACAGATGCTTGTTGCTACAGAACCATGTGTGTGTGTGTGTGTGTGTGTGTGTGTGTGTGTGTATACATACATACATATATACACATATATACATATATATGCATATATATACACATATATACATATATACATATATATACACATATATGTATACATGTATATATACACATATATGTATATATATGTATATATATATTTATATTTATATTTATATGAAGTTTAAATAACATCGATGGGGTTATGCTAATCTTGGAGATAGAGGTTATGCCAACCCTTTGAGAAAGGGCAGAGTCTGGGCTACAGGAAGACAACAGCATTTAGTCACCTCAAGCAAAGACTCAGAGGCCCTAGCTCTCCTCCCTAATCTTAATCCTGCCTCTGGCAGAGCCTTACCTCTGTTTACTAAGTTTCTCAATCTGTGCCTCAAGGCTCCATCTGCTAGTCATGGAATTGAAATAACAATAACAACAACAACTAGCATTTATATGGCACCTTAAATTCACAAGAGTCCTTTACTTATATTACCTTATTTTATCCTCACAACCATTATGTAAGATAGGTAAGATGGATGATCACTTCCAGTTTACAGATGAAGAAACTGAGGCTGAGAGAGATTGAGTGGTTTGCTTGGTCACTTGGCTAGGAAGTGTTTTAGGCAGGATTCCAACTCAGAGCACAATCTAGCCAATACACACCTAGCTTCCAGGTACATTGAGTTAAGAACGGGAAGGGGCCTTATTGATTCTACATTCTACCGTCTTATTGTACAGATGAGGAAACTGAACCGGGAAGGGGTTGTGATTTGCTTGAGGTCACACATTGAGCTAGTTGCAGAGCTGAGACTGGGTCTGAGGTCTCCAATCTCCCAGGCCAGAGTCCTTTCCAAAGTTCCAGGTCACCTATCTCCCACATCTGTCCTGAAGGGACATCTTGAGATGACTTCAAAGGCTCTTTTCTTGCCCTTGGGGTGAAGGAGAGTAGGCAGTCAATTGGAGACTGTGAGAAGGAGACTGCATGTAGAGAAAGTCTCCCCCACTTGCACTGGTTCAGTGTCTGGGCACCATGCCAGCTGTGTGGTAAAGAAAGTTAGGATGGCTTGTGGTTGGGAGGGATGAGAGAGGAGCCAGCTAGCACAGGTTTCCTGGTTACCTGGAGGCACCCTCTGTGGTGTGTGTCTGCTTGAAAAAGTTGTTGAAGCCCAACTGTTCACAGTTAAATCCACCACCTACCTGTGGTTTCTCGTTTATTAAATGGTTATAGAAGCACTGGCTCTGATACTGTTGTGTCACCTTAGGCAAATCACTTAATTTTTCTGAGCCTCAGTTTCTTTATTTGTAAAATTAGGATAATAACGCTGTCACAATCTCCCTTAGAGGGTTATGAGGATCAGGCAGTCATTTGGTCAGTCAGTAAGCATTTATTAAGCACCTACTGTGTGCTAAGTGCTGGGGTTACAAAGAAAGGCAAAAGGTAGCTCACAATCTAATGGGGAGGGGACAATGTGCCAACAACTATATACAAAAGAAACAGGAAATAATCAAGAGAGGGAAGGCACTAAAATTAAGAGGGATTGGGAAAGGTTTCCTGTAGAAGGTGAGATTTTAGTTCTGATTTGGAGGCCAGGAGGCAGAGATGAGGAGAGAGAGCATTCTAAGCGTGACAGAAAAGATATGAGAAAATGGCCAGAGCTGAGAGATGGAGTGTCTTGTTTGAGCAACTGCAAAGGAGGCCATTGTTAGTGGGCTGAAGAATATGTGGAGGGTTTGTAAGAAGCTTAAAAGGTAGAGAGTGGGAGGCTGGGTTATGAGAAGCTTTGAACACCAGAGGATGAAATGAGATAATGCACGGGAGGTACTGGGTAAACCTAAAACTGATATATTATTGTCTGCTCTTATTGTACAGATGTGAGTTATTATTTTTATTACTGACCGGCTATGAAGGCAGGGTGACCTAGTATAGCAGCTAGTGTGCTCGATTTGGGGTCAAAAGAGACCTGGTTTAAATCCTGCCTCTCACACTATTGGCTGTGTGACCATAAGCAAGTTGCTTAACTTCTCCAAACCTCAGTTTCATCATCTGTAAAATGGGGATAATAATACCCATGGTACCCACCTCACAGGGCGGTTGTGAAGATCAAATGAGATAATGTTTGGGAGGTGCTTTGTAAATCTTTAAGTGATAGAGAAATGTCATTTGCCTTTCCTTAGGCCAGAGATGTGAAGCAACTTGCGTTACATTTAGTAAGCAGTAGATAAGGAATTTTAACTCGGGCACTCAGTGTTTTCTTGATGAGGCCACACATAAAGTATCAGAGGTGGAAGGGACATTAGAAGTAATCTAGTTCAGTCATCTCATTTTGTGGATGAAGAAACTGAGTCCCAGAGAACTGAAAAATGTGCTCAAGCTCTCAAGACTTAATTCGGTGGATTGCTGAAAGCCTCGAGCTCTGGCTTCCAGGCTAATGGGACCCTGCATGGGGCTAATGTGTTGTCTTTGCTCCCCATACAGGCTTAACCTAAGGTGATGAGGGTGCTTCTTAAGCAAGCTTGTGAAGGGCAATGCGGCAGAACTGAAAGAGAAATGCACCTGGACTTGTAAGACCAGTTATATAGTTTTAGCTCCTTAGTTCACTATCCCATGTGACAGTGGGTGAGTCACTTGCTGAAACCTCACTTTTCCCATCTGTAAAATGGGGATAATAACTCTTGCACTGCTTACCTCCCAGGGTTGTTGGAAGACAGGTCCATTGTAAACCACAAAGAGCTATTAAAAAAAAAAAGGTGAGGTAATGTTAGCATAGGATGTGGTGCTGGAAGGGACCTTTGTGACGATCTAGTCCCACAGTTTCATTTTTCATCTAAGTAGTCATTTAGGTTTCTTGAACGTCTTGATTTTATCTTTACTTAGGAAGCTCTGACCCTGGGGAAATGCATCCCTCAGCTCATTTGCTTTCTGGTAGAAAATTATCTAAAAGGAAGAGGATTTTCTAAGCTGGAGTTGGTATTTCTGGTACCTCCAAACACAGATGCTCAAGGGGCTCAGTCATGGGAGATAGCAATATTGTTTTAAGAATGACTTCGAGTGAATGTGTCATTTTGACCATTATAATTGCCCAAATTAACTATAAAGGACATATGAAGAAAGATACTATTGGCATCCAGAGAAAGAACTGATAGATAGAAGTATGTACAGAACAATTTTACATATATGTGTGTGTGTGTATATATATATATATATATATATATATATATATATATATATATATAAATATACACACACACACACACACACACACACACACACACATATATATATATACCTATATACCTATTTGTGTCTAGTGTTAGCCATCTCTAGGGTGGAGTGGGGGGAAAAAAGATAAAAAGGAAAAAAAAGAAAAAAATTACATAATAACTTTATTATATATTTAAAAGGAATAGTAAGCTGTATGTAATCGAACTGCAATTTCATGTGCAATTATCTTTTTTATTATACTATGTTATAAAAATGCTTGTTTTATTCCACAAATCAAAAATTAAATAAGGAAGTTAAAGAAAGAAGATAATTTAGCTATCAGCCAATGTAATCATTTGACAGAAGAAGAAACTCAGGCCCAAGTTGGAAAAGCAGCTCTAACTGACTCTTTTCTGGAGGAGTGGTCCTGGGGAGGAGTGGGGGATAACTGTTCCTCCCTTTCTGCTATAGCCATCAGACTCACCCTAACATCCGTGAGTCCATGCTGGAGGGCAAGAGTCTGATTCCTTCTCATCTCTTGCCCTGGCCCGCTGGCCTGGCCTCACGCTGTGACTCAGTTTAGTTTTTATTGGCCCCTTGGCACATTAAATGGTTAGCAAACTTCACTGGAGTTACAAGTCTATTCATAATCACACTTCAAGGCCTAGTGTACTTAGAAAGTATCAGTGACACTTGCCAGCTTTAAAGGGGACCTTTCAAGTGGTGAGAAAAGGGGGGGTGTGGGTTTGACAACTGGGCAGGGAACTTGTAATTATTGCTATGTAAATGAGTAGCTGGGGCCAGCTTATGCCATAGCTTGCCTGTAGGCCATTATTCTTTGCCCTCCCTCACTGACACTGGACTACTTAACCCCTGTATAATTTTGTTTTGTGTTAATCTCTGAGGTCCTTTACCAATTAGGGATCTACAGGCCAGCAAACCTTTGAAATCCCAGCAACCCTCTTTCACCAGAAATATACTGTCATGGTTAGAAACATAGTTCTCCAAGCCTTAGAGTCTAAAGTGTGCTTATTTTATCCAAGAAACCCCAAGTGCATTTTCCCAGGGTTTTGCATATAGAGATTGTATGTGGGTCTTTGGGAAGGAAACAAGATGGGGACTAGTCAGTCAGTCAGTCAGTACACTTCTATTAATTACCACCCATGCATTAGGCACTGTGTTAACTGTTGGATATGTGAAAAGAGGCAATAAATAGTCACTGTCTTCAAGGAGCTCAACATCTAATGGGGGAGATAACAAACAAACATATGTACAAACAAGTTAAATACAAGAAAAAGTAGGAAATAATTAAAAGTGGGAAGGCCCTAGAATTAAGAGGGATTGGGGATAGAAATTCATTCAATATCTCTGAATTCATCATAGTGGTCAACAAACCTTAACTGAATGCCTGCCATAGGGAAAACTAAATTATTGATGTAATTTAGGTAGTGCTAAGCTCATATACAGAGGTCAACCCATAGTAACACTCTACCTCCATCATTAAGACAAAAAACATCTCCCCCTTGAAAAACTCCCTCTTCCCCCCTTTTCCTTTGGTGATGTTCATCTCTTCAAAGATGCCCCTGGGGTTTATTTTAGGATAATAGTTGTTTTTGTTGCTGCTGTTTGTTGGTCCTTCTCAAAGAGGAATTGGGAGGATGATGCCATGATGTGCAAATGAACTGGATTTAAGTGAGGGAGGACTGTGCAAAGTCACCAGCCTCACTTTCTCCTGAAGAGCCAGGGTCCATTGGCAAGATATAGATCAGGATGACTGGAGATGGCCCCTAGGATCATAGCATTTAGAGCTGAAAGGGATCTTAGAGGTCATCTAGTTGAATCCTGCTCATTTTACATATGAAGAAAACAGGCCTAAGTGATATGACCAAGATCGTACAGGTGTGTAAAGTGGCAGATCTGGGATTTGAACTCAGGTCATTTTAGCACTCTTTCTACAAACCCACACTGCTTTCATTTTCTTAATAAAGAACAGGCCCAGAAAAGAAGTAGCCTATGATAAATCACAAAACCAGTAAACCCTGATGCCAGAATTCAAACCCAAGCCCTCTAATTCCAAGTCTGCTGCTTGTTTCAGTAAGCTGCTCCCTCTGAATCAGGTTTCACCTGGATATACATTTAGGAGGAGAAGAAATGCTCCATGTGATTTGCTGCAGGCCACACAGCCCCTTCCCTACCCAACTCCAACTCCCTTGAGAATGTCCCCTTCTCAGATTCCTATCTCCACTTTTGTGGCAGGCACCTGAAGCTATGCCCAGGGCACATTCACACTTCTAAAATAGATTTTATTTAGTATCATTTAATCTTCCACCAACTGGGTCCCACAATTACTCCCCTTCACCTGCTCTCTCTGTTCCAGTCAAACTAGAGTACCACTTATTCCCCACAACGCCTTCCATCTGCTCATTCTGGGCCTTTCTGCTGGTGTCCTCCACCAACACGTAGATAGATAGATAAATAGAGGGACAGATGTTGGGACCAAATAAAGTAAATCTAAGGTGATTTCTGGAGAAGGAGGCCTTAGCAAGATCAAGAAAGGCCTTTTGAAGAAGGTGGTGCATGAGCTGGGCTTTGAAAGAGGGTGAGGAGTCTATGAAACATAAGTGAGGGGGAAATGCATTGTTATAGGCATGAGAAACAGCCTGGACCAAGGCATAGAGGTAGGAGATGGGTTGTTAAATGTGAGGGATGCCAAGTAGGTCAGTTTGTCTGGACGGTAGAGTTCATGAAGGGAAATAAGATATAATACACCTGGAAAGGTAGCCTGGAAGTTAGATTGCAAAAGAAGGGTTTTAAAGAAAGTGTTTTAAATGTTACCCTTGAATTAAACAGGTAGATGAGCAAATTCCATGTTGGAAATCTGCACTCTCTTCCTGGTGGCTGTTGAGTTGTGTCTGACTCTTCATCATCCCATGGACCTTATGGTCCATGGGGTTTTCTTGGCAGAGATACTGAAGTGGTTTGTCATTTCCTTCTCCAGTGGATTAAGGCAAACAGAGGTTAAGTGACTTGCCTAGAGTTATACAGCTAGTAAGCATGTGAGGCTAGATTTGAACTCAGGTCTTCCTGACTCCAGGCCCAGCGCTCTCTCCATGAGCCATCTAGCTGCCCCTCTCTTCCTGGTAGGTAAATGATAATAAGAACAGCCTCTTGCATTTCTGTGGCTCCTCAAAGGCTACAGAGTACTTTCTTTACAACAGTGTGAATATTATAATTATTTTACAGTTGAGGAAACTGAGGAAAGTAGTATGAGAAGAGAGTAAAGTAGTATGAGTATTATCCCCCCTAACATCTATTCAGATCTCATTGTGACTACTGGTTTTTATACATTAATAGAATCTTAGAGTTGGAAGGGACCCCAAAGGTTATCTAGTCCAAACTCTACTTACAACAGAATTTTGTCTAAAATACCTTCAACAGAGGTTAATTGGCTCTCAATCAATCAGCAAGCATGTACTAAGTACCTACTATGTACCAGGCACTATGCTCAAGGAAGCATATTTTTTTACTTCCTTTTTTTTGTCTGTGTGTGTTTTCTTTTGCAACGTGGCTAATATGCAAATCTGTTTTGTATGACTTTGCATGTATAATCAATATCAAATTAGTTTTCTTCTCAAGGAGGGGGGAGAAAATTTGAAATGATTATTCACATTTTTATATGTAAATGGGAAATATTTAATGAAATGATTAAGGAAATCATCAAACACACACACACACATATGAATATATATGGGTAGCTAGGTGGCACAGCGGATTGATTGAGTGCTAGGCCTGAAGTCAGGAAGACTCATCTTCCTGAGTTCAAATCTGGCCTCAGACACTCATTAGCTGTGTGACTCTGGTCAAATCACTAAACACTGTTTGCCTCAATTTCCTCCTCTGTAAAATGAGATGGAGAAGAAAATGGTGAACTGCTCCAATATCTTTGCCAAGAAAACCCCAAATTGGGATCACAAAGAGTTGGACGTGACTGAAACAAATGAACAACAATATATATTGAATATATGAATATAAGTGTCTCTGTGTCTGTGTGTGCATGTATACATGATCCTAAGGTTGCAAACTTGGGTGACTGGGAAGAGGGTTGTACCCTTGAAAATAATAGAGAAGTTTGGAAAAAGAAAGGTGAATTTTTGAGGGGATGCAAGCGGATTTTGTTTCAGACATATTGAATTTGATGTGTCTGTAGGATACCTAGTCTGCAGTGTTGATGAGGCAGCTGGTGATGCAGAACTAGAATTTGGAAGACAGACAAGGGTTGGATATACAGATCTGGGAATCATCAGAATAGAGGTGATGATTAAGCTCATGGGAGTTGGTGAGAGAGGAAGAAGAAGACAGACTTGGGAGATGCAATAGTTAGGCTGCGTTATTCAAATGAAGATCTAGCAAAGGAGACTGAGAAGGACAGTCAGACAGTGGAGGAGAAACACTAGGGAGCATCCCATTGAGTAAAGGCACACATGGGAGTTCTTGAATGTTCTATCAGTGGAGCACAAAAAAAGGTCCCTTCAAGTTGGAAAGGCCTTGAGTGTGTCTGGTGAGCAACTATATGTCTTCTGTCTAAGCTGGGAGAAGCTTGTCATTACACTGGTTTCAGGGTGATGACTTTTCAGGCACCATTTCTCTTGAAGACCATCTGCCAGATCAGAGAGAGGTTATGGTCTACCTTGAGGGAGGGAATATCCACCCTGATAAAATCCCAAGGAACGTACAGTGGAAAAAGCACCTGCTTTGGAATCCAACTTTGAATCTTGGCTCTATTATTTACTACTTTTGTAACCCAGGGCAAATCACTCAACCTTTGGTTGTCTCATTTGCAAATCAAAGAGGTTGGATTACATGCTCTTTCAAGTCCCTCCCAGCTTGGAATTTATGGTCCTATGAAGTATGGAAATTTAAAGAAGAGGAAACTGAGGAGCAGAGAAATGTAATGACTTGTCCAAAGCCATCTATTTTATAAGTGTCAGAGCCAGGTCTTCCCACACCAAGTCCAGTGGTGTTTTCTGTTCTGGGCCTCCAGAATTTGGCTTCGAAATAAGGCCATCCTGACCTTGGTTAAGTAACTTGCCCAGGGTCACACAAGCAGTAAGTATCTGAGGCCAGATTTGAACTTGAACTGTGCCAACCTCACTGTACAGTTTAGGGCCCCCATTTCTATTTGGGCTTGATATTACTTCTCTAAAGTACCTTCTAACTCTGAGATCCGAAGTAGTGTGCTACTGTGGAAAGAATAATCAACTTGGAGTTAGATGATCTGGATTCAGATCCTGACTCTGACACTTAATAACTCTGTAATCTTGAGCAAATCACTTTACTCCTTGGGGACCTAGTTTCCTGATTTACAAAATAATGATGATGAGAATACTTGACCTTGCAAAGGGTGTTATGAAGAAATTATTTTGTAAAAGTAAAAGTCCCATGCAAATGTGAGCTATTTTTATTTTTCTTATTATGATGAATCTGTTTCTATGAATTATTTCCTCATCAAACTGCAAATATACTAGGAGGGAGGGATAATCCTTTCAGCCATTAACACTCACCATCAGTGATTAGTTTATCAGATTAGTTAACAGTCACTGGGCCCTTAGGGAATCATGCTAATACCTTATATTTACATAGGCTTTAAGTTTATCAAGTACTTCTCTGAAGGAAGATAGGACCAGTATTATAATCACCATTTTACAGATGAGGAAACAGAGACTAAGTGAGACTTAGTAGTCTAGTGGTAAAAGCACTGGCCTTTTAGGTAGACGATGGACATCCAAATCATGGTTCTGCAGCTCAGGCAGATCACTCAACCTTTCACTTTTTGGTAAAATGAGGGAGATTGAACTCAATGAGATATGTCACAAACAGCAGCCTTCCACTCTGCCTACCCACTTGCAGAGGAGAAGCTAAAGGAAGGCTGGAGAATGCTCACTAGAAAAGTAAAGAACAGAAGAAGAAACTGGGGCAGGGTATCAGCATGTATGCATGGGGGCTGCACCAGGCCTGAAAGAAAGAGGACTGACATCCTTCTGGGACTAATCCAGTGATGCTGGTCTTCTGCTCTTTGAACAGGATGCTCAATCTCCTGACTCCAAGAGTTTTCACTAGCTGTATCCCATGGTTGGTGAGACTTACCTGAGATTATACAGCTAGTATACTAGTTGGGTTTTGAGTACATGATTCCTGACTCCCAGGCTATTCAGTTTCCCATAGTGCCACACCCACCAGGTGGAAGCCAGTCAAGGTGGTTAAGTTTGTATGGAAGATAGAGGAGGGGGAGGTCTTCCACTGGCCTAATCAGGGTGGTATATTGGGAGAAATGAGGCAGACAGTGGACATCAAGAGGATCCTGGGTATCTGGAAGGATTGGAGGCTCTGAGAACAGACTTCAACTACTCAACTCTGTTTGAGGCTCACCCTGCATAATAGCTACATTATGTCCCAAACGCTTTGCTTGGTTTCCTCCCCACAGACAGGGAGTAGTAGCTGAATGATACTTTAACAGGCAGCACATAGTTTTGGAAGGAGAGCGTCTGCCAATAATTCTTCTGTTTTGCTTGGTCAGTCAGCATGCACACGGATGGGAAGTCACAGTGCTGTTCCAAGGGGCTCTGGAATGCATGATTAGGGTCAACCAAGGAGGAAAGAAAACACCTGTCTGGTGCAGTGGACAAGCTCTGCTGCCCGTTGTTGGCCTCAGTTTCCTTGTCTATAAAGATTATATGACCTTTAGGGGCCTTTCTGGTTTTGATGTCTACAATCCTCAAAACTCTGTGTGTTATTTTTTCTTTCAGTATTAGTATTTCAGCAAATAGCATGTTCATAAACCAGTGACTATAGAACTCAAGATAAAAAGGATCTCATATAATTTCAGTGAATATTTATTCAGGTCCTGCTATGTGCCAGGCACTGCGCTAGGCACTGAAGTGCAAAGCATATGAGCTTATAGTCTAGTAAAAGGTGCAAGACAACTACACAGATAATTAGAAAACAAATTATATAATTTTCAACACAGAAAAAGTCCAAAAAAGTATTTAGAATGAAGAATTGAAATATGTTAACATGAAAAAATGCTCCAAATAATTAATAATAAAAGATACGCAGATTAGAAACTCTGAAGTTCTACCTTGCAATTACCAAATTGTCAAAGATGACAAACGACAAAAATAGAAATTATTGTAGGGGCTGTCATTATTCCTCCTTCATTCTTGAAGAGGACCAATGACATCAGGAGGGCGATGTCTTGACTTGCAAGTGAATTGGATTTAAGTGAGGCAGGACTGTGCAAGTCATCAGCTTCACTCTCTCCTCCAGAGTCATTGAGGTCCCTTGGCAAGACATATGTCAGGATGAATGGCTATGGCCCCCTGCGTAAGGGTTATGGGAAGATGGGCACACCAATGCACCATTGGTACAAATTAGAACTCAGGAATGTACACTAAAAGTCACTAAATTGTATATATCATTTGGCCCAACAAAATGGGACATATATCCCAAAGAAGTTGAAGGATCAATATATACAAATATATTCACAGCAACACTTTTTGTTGTAGCAAAGAACTGGAGACCAAGTGGGTGATCATTATTTGGGGGCTGACTAAACAAATCGTAGTATATCGGTGTATTATACAGTAAGTAATTAAGAAAGGGATGGATTCTGAGGAACCTGGGAAGATTTGCATGAAATGATTTAGAAGAAAATCATCAGAGCAGGAGAATGATTTACACTATGAGCACAATAATGTAAAGGAAAACAACTGTGAAAGAATTCAGAACTCTGACCAGCGCTACGACCAATTAGGACTTCAGATAAATGATGACGGAGTATGACTCTCACCTCTTGGCCGAGAGGAAGCTGATAGAGTACAGGTGCAGAGTGGAGTATGCGTTTTCATCCATATCCCATGTGTTGATTTATTTTGCTTGACTGTTCTCTCTCTCTCCCTCTCTCTAACACACACACACATACACACACAAAGGAGGGCTTCTATTTGTGGTGCTAGGAGGAGTTAGTGGGTATTCATAGAGACTTTAAAAATAATTAAGCAACAAAAATACACAGTAGAAAACAAAAAGATATTAAAAAGTGAACATGTAAGGGCAACTTTATTACTTCTATGTTAAATTTCAGATAAAAAACTGTTTTAATAAAACTTTATGGTTTCATATACATTATTTTTTTTTGTATATTCACAGGCTCCCATTAGATCATGTTTTTAAAGTTTATAATAAGCAATACTACTTTTTTTAAAAAAAAGATAATATCTTGCTTGGGAGGTCAGGAGAGGTTTCATAGAGAAGGTGGAATTTGAGCTGGACTTTGAAGGAAAGATTTGGTGGTATATTGAGAGATGATTTTAACCATTGAAAACACAAAGGCAAAGAGGTGAGATGATATTGGAGAATGAGGAGTAATCCAGTTTAACTGGAATGTGTGAAGGGTAGTAAATTGGGTTAAATGATAGCTACAAGGTGGGGGAACTTGAATGCCAGGCTAAGTAGTTTGTACTTTATTCAATGAGCAGTTGAAAGTTATTGAAGGTTTATGAGCAGGGGAATAACTCACTTAGACCTGTTCATTATAGAATCGCAGAATCTCAGAGTTCCAAGGGATCTCAGTGAGCACCTAGTCCAGTTTATATCTGAATAGGAATCTCCTTGCCAGCATCCTTGACAAGTGGAAATCAACCTACCCATAAAAGGAGAAGCCACTAGCATCTGGAGGCAGTCCATTTCACTTTTGGACGGCTCTCATCGTTCAGAAGTTTTTATATGAGTCAAGCTGAAGCCCACCTGTCTGCAGTTTCCAGATACTGGTTCAAGTTCTACTGCCAAGCAGAACAAGTCTACTAACCTGGCTTTAATTTGACAGCCGTTCAGACGCTTGAAGATGTGATTGTGGCTTCTCCTTCCCTTCTCCAGGGCATCTCTAGTGCCTCACACAGCGTCTTGGGTGATTTGCGGCCTTGACCTTTCATTCTTGGTCATCCTTTGCACGTGCTCCAATTTGCTGACGTAAATGGCTTGGACACTACTGTTGCTGACTTTAGAAATTCTTTTCATTTTTCCCTTAAGGACATTTGCCCCATTTCCGTACAGAGATGGGATGGATTGCTGGTTTTTGTTAACAACCTGACAGTTTTGCAAAAGATATAGAGCTGGGGTGGGGAACCTCCGGCCAGGCTGCAGGTTATGTATGTGTATATATATATATATATATATATATATATATATATATATATACATATATATATATATATATACACATATATGTGTATGTATGTGTGCATATATACATATGTATATATGTGTATGTGTGTATATATACACATGTGTGTGTATATATATACACACACACACACACACACACATATATATATACACACACATGTGTATATGTGTGTGTGTATATACACACACACACACACACACACACACACATATATATATACACACACATATATTTTTTTTAGGCAATTGGTGTTAAGCGACTTGCCCAGGGTCACACAGCTAGTAAGTGTCAAGTGTTTGGTCTGAGGTCAGATTTGAACTCAGGTCCTCCTGACTTCAAGGCTGGTGCTCTATCTGCTGCGCCACCTAGCTGCCCCTATATATATATATATATATATATATATATATATATGCATGTATATATAATAAGGACATATAGAAATCAATTACATTGTTGTTGTTTGTGCTTTGTTCTTGAAGAAGACCATAACATCAGGAAGGTGATGCCATGACCTACAAGTGAATTGGATTTCAGTGAGGGAGGGCTTTGTAAAGTCACCAGCCTCACTTTTTCCTCCAGAGCCATCTGGATCCAGTGGCCAGATATAGATCAAGGTGACTTGAGATGGCCCTGGATGCAGTGGAGGACCTTGGCCGTTTCAAGCTAAAGTCTTTGACAGGTGTCAGTTTGACTGAGGCAACACCCATTCAGAGATTAAGGTTAGGTAAGCAATGAGGCAGAGGAGGCAGCTAAGTGGCACAGTCAGGAGGACCTGAGTTCAAATACGGCCTCAGACCAAACACTTGACACTTACTAGCTGTGTGACCCTGGGCAAGTCACTTAACCCCAATTGCCTAAAAAAGAAAAAAAAAAGAAAGAAATGAGGCAGAGAATGGCCTCTTTTACTTAGTCAAAAAAAAGTATCAGTCTGGGAGGGGAGGGCACTAGTAGTTGCTGGGAGCTAGGAAAGACTTCATGCAGAAGGTGGTGCTCGAGCTGAATTTTGAAGGAAACTGGGGCACCCAGGAGGTAGAGGTGGAAGTGCGTCAGGAGAGGACTCAGAAGAGACTGAGCAAATTTAGGTACAATATGAAATCACAACATAGGCTATGAATACAGGAGACATCTCAAGCCAGTACATATTCAGGTGATACAGACTTTGAGTAGCATGAGTTCAGAAGTGGGTTTGGCCTGGAGTAGGCTGGGAGGGCTTTCAGAAGGAGCCAGTCCTTGAAGGATGGATTTGGTTAGTCAAAAGCAGAAATGCACTCCGTATGGGAGATGCCATTTAAACAAAGTTAGGGAGGTAGGGTTATGGGAAGAGAGTATCTCTGTTTGGTTAAATTAGATTGTTAGTATAGGGGATCAGTGGGAGACAAAACTAGGAAGGTAGGTTAGTCCTAACCAGTTCTGGGCCTTGAATGCCAAGGTGAGAGGCAAAGGACTTTCTTCTGTGACTTTATGAGGGATTTTGCTAGGGCTTGCTCTTCTACATAACAAAAGGCAGAGAAGGCATCAGGCCAGGCCAAGGAGCCAGTGGAATGCAAAGGAAACACTTCCAACACCAGGGAGTTGTGTAATCCCTAAGATGGCAGCTGGCTGAGGAGTCCAAACTGTGTTAGCCTCAGATTCATCATCCATCGTTTGCCCTCAAAAAACAGCAAACTCGGCAGCTTCAGGTGGCAAGGTTGCGACATGAGGCTGTTTGTGAAATATCTCTGAGGCACAGTTCCAGCCCCACCTGACCAGTTTTTCTCTTGCCAGTTTCTTCCAGTTCCCTCTACTCATAATTAACTGAAGCACATGGTACATGTTGAGTTATCTGAGGGTTCAGAACTTTGGGATAGGGTCAATTATATCACCCCAGTCAAATCAAAATTTTCGAAGTTTTAACCGGACAGCGAATTTTCAAATGAGACTTCCTAAGAGTGGAGGCATAATCACACCATTTATGATGTATTTTTACCCCAAAGAAATTCAATTCAATTTAGTTCAACGAGTGTTAATTGAGCTCCCACTATGTGCCAGGCAATGAGAATAAAAAAGACAAAAATGATATTGTCTCTGCCCTCTAAGGACTTACATTCCACTGGGAGGAAAAACATCTATACAGATAAATAAATAGAAAATGTAGTCGGAAAAAATGGAATCAGAAGGTCTGGGCTCAAATCCCATATGTGATGCTTGCCACCTAGGTGACCTTGGACAAGTCCAATGCCTCATTGAGTCTCAGTTTCCTCATCTGTAAAATTGAGGGGGTTGGATCAGTCTGAAGCCCTTTTTATCTCTAGACCTATTATTTTATGATCCTCGATACAAAATAATTTCAGGGAGGGTGGAGTGGGAGTGGGGCAAAACTAAGAAATATGAGATCAGGTGACCCTTGAATTGTGCTGTAAATGGAGCCAGAAATTCAGAGCCCTAGAAGTGAGAAAACTTCAAGTTTCTATCCAGTTGTTATAATTCAGTCTAGGGACAGTCCTATGAATGCTTTATAGCCACCTTTTGATGGTGAGTAAAGTGAAGAAGCAAGCATAATGCCCTTTAATGAAAAAGCAGCTCAGACTTTGTAATTGGTCTTGGAATGAAGTCAGATATACATACACATATACAGTTATACACAAGAGTGTGTGAACGCATAGGCTATGTAGATGACTGCTTAATATTCAGTTCAGTAGAAGAAAAACATCTGGTTATTCAATGAAAAATTTGTTCTCTTTGGTAGATTGCCTGAATTTTTTTCTCCTACCTCTGAGCTGGCTAATGTTGGGTAGACCCAACATGAGTCATACATGCACTAGGGTGTGCCTGTGCATGAGCACCCATACACACACACACACACACACACACACACACACACACACACTGACTGTCACCCAGCTAGCCCTATCACTGGGCCAGAATGCATTCACATAGTGGTTAGGGATTGACCCCTACTTGCCACAGATCACCTTTACAAGACACTTGGAGATTCTTGAGCACTAACAGTATTGGGCAGACTTACCTGAATTACATTTCTGTCCCCCGCAACTTTAAGAATTCACAGGAGACATCATTTCTCTTTGGAAAATGACACGCAACATACAAGAGTTGGAATCAGTGACCTGGCAGTTGTACCCAGCTCCCTGGAGCTCTGGCTTTCGAGTAGGAATGTATATTGTTTGTGGCCTGTCTGTCCAAATGTTGCATAATGCCTCAGGGTGGGGATGCTTCTTTCTATGTTGCAACATCTTGCCTCCCACCAGGGCAGTTTCACCTGCCAATAAATTCTTGAGGTAACCTGTCTTGACACTGGTGACTGTGAAGGAGGCTAGGAGAGTGTCCTTGGTGGGAAGGTTCAGTTCTCCTAAATGAGTCCAAACTGCCAAACTCACATTGCCAGTCTTTAATAGTTTGTTTTACCTGTTTCTTTTTGGCTCAGTCAAGGCTGTCTCTGAAACATTTCATCAGGGGGCAAATTCAAGTAGTGGGCCAAGAACTTGGGATACTTCACAGCAGCTCCAATTTTACAAGTTCTGGAGAGTGAGAGTGGTGTCACAACTCCCAAGGTGCCACTTCTGTTTTCTTATGTGAGAATTCAATTCACTATGCCCTTATTAAGTACCTAATGACATGGACTTTGTTTTAGGCATTAGGGATACAAAAGCAAAAATGAAGATGCTTTTCTACTCAAGAAACTTATGTTTTGATCACCTTATGTTTTGAAGAAATAAGAAAACTTTCTGTCTTTTAAAACCTATGCAGCAAGTGCTCACAAGTGTTCACAAACATGCCAAAAGGTTTGGTCCAACCATTCAGTCTGGCACTTGGGGTTTGAGCCTCAATTCTGGGAGTTTATGTTCCAATTCAACAAACACTAATTAAATGCTTCCTTGTTCAATAGGCTAGAACAGTTATTGGGGAATAAAAGAACAAAAGGAAAGCCATCCCTGCTCTCTAGGGGTTTACAGCTTACCAGTGGGTAGCAGCTAAATGGAGTTGTAGAGAGAGTGCAGAGTGCCAGGCCGGCAGTCAGGAAGACTCCTCTTCCTGTGTTCAAATCTGGCTTCAGACACTTGCTAGCTGTGTGGCCCTGGGTAAGTCACTTAACCCTGTCTGCCTCAGTTTTCTCATCTGTAAAATGAACTGGAGAAGGAAATGACTAGCTACTCTAGTATCTTTGCCAAGAAAATCTCAAATGTGGTCACGAAAAGTTGGATACACTAAAACAACTGAATAACAACTCTTGTAATAGGTTTTGGTCTATTTGGTCAAAGAAGTGTTGGGTAATGTTTTTATTTATTGTTAAACAGCTACCACTCCAATATCTTTGCCAAGAAAACTTCAAACAGGGTCACAAAGTCAGACATGACTGAAATGACTGAACAATGACAGGGGAACCATAAAACTACTTCACTTTGTGTGACCTTGAGCAAGACACAGATTCTGTCTCCCCATCCATAAAATGAAAGGGTTGGGCCGGGTGTTATGCATAGTCCCTACCAACTTGAAATCAATTATCCTGTGACCTTAATTTTAAATAGCACTTGAAGATTCATGAATCATTCCTTTCCTCAGAACAACCTTGTATTATTATTCACATTTCACAGATGAGAATACTGAGGAAGACAGAGGTTAGGTGACTTTCCCAGAGTCACACAGTTAAGTACAGATCTGAATCAGAATTTGAATGCAGGTCTTCCTGACCTCAAGTCTAG